CTTCATGAAAAAAAAAAAAGATATATATTGATTTTTTCTTATTCTTGTAAATAATTATTAAATTCATGACATGGAAGAAGGTAGCAGAGAAAGTCAAGCAAAGTTAAAAGACTAGCAAAAGAAAAAAACGGAAGGCTATCAGGTATCATTGAAAGTAGAAATGCTTTACGACCTTGGAAAAAAATTAATTATATTCATCTGTAAGCCAATTTTACACAAAAAAAAAAAAAATGAATATTTGCAATTTAACATAGAAAATTACTTCCACAAGAATCAAGTTTAACAAAGTTGAACTTCAACGTCTCCTCAACATCAACATCAACATGCTGTGTTGATTTCTCTCTCCCCTTCCCGGCATGATCGCATAATGATCAATAGAGAGTTTCGCAACCGTGCGAAAGTCAAAAGGTTTCGCCATAAGTCAAAACTAGCTTTGATTTTTGACTATTGACTTTTGATTTAGTTTTTACATATAACTTTTAATTTTAATTTTGACTTTCGCTTCTTCAAAATAGTTTTGGCAACCAACTCCGTGAAACTGCAATTTCCTTTTTATAGATGAAATTACCAAAAAGACATTATTTAAAAAAAATCAACAATTAATCCTGAACTATAGTATTTTATTGTCGGACAACAGATTTGTTTTTTTCAAAATAAAAAAACTTCTACCAAATCAGTGTTACACTCGCACCTTTCGCACATTTGATTAATTGAATGAAAAGGATCTTCGCAAATAAAAATATTACCTTTTTTGATGTGAATCACAAACTCCTTTCTAAACAAACAATCTTGCGTTACCGGACCAATGTAATAAATAATAATTTTCTTTAGGAAAAGCAATGATGATGACAAAACGATAAAAATGGTAATGACAATAATAAATAAGAGTGGACAATAATCTTTTTTCTAACAATGCTTTCGAATATTGGAATTTATATAAAATCTTCAGATTGATAATTAAACACAAAGCATGCATTAAATGTTATGATTGTTTCATTTATATAGTTATATTGTTTTTTCAATGAGACTGTGCCTGTAGCACCGATAAAAATAATTCCTCGATTATAACACTCAAAGTGTTCATAAATTCTTTAAGAACCGGTTCAAGTTCAGGACTAGTCACAGGTTTATGTCTGGATTGAGGATTTATTTCAACGTATTAGATACTTGAGACATTTTAATTTATCGAATAATTTTATTTTTGAAGCTTTAATTATTAAATCCTTTAATTTTATCTATTCATGTATAATAATTTCAACTATAAAAACCAATATTTCGTATCCTATGATTCGTTTCCCAAATATTTATAATATACGTTAAATAAAAAGATTTTACATTTGTACCACAATACTTTTTTATATTCTAAATTGTATAATTTATAATAAATAAAAAAACCCGACCACTCACTTTTTTGGATGTTCTTCGTTCTTTGAATTTTTGCCCGAGGTTTTCACTACAGTTTTTTGGATATTGATATATAGTCCTGTTTCGTATTTTTTCTTTTTATGATTATAAAGTTATAAATGATAAATATAAATTATTAAATTATATGGCTCCTCTGTTTGGGGCACGACTTGATTTATAGTTTGACATTGAAAATCAAGTTGATGAGGAGTTTATTGAAATTGTTGTATTCAGATTCTATACGTTTTTCAAAAATTCCACGACAAAAAAAAAGATAGTAGTGGCGAATAGACACTTGCTAACAATAAACAGTGCCCTTTTTATTGAATTATGGCAAAGGATTCTTTTCCAATTGTATGAACAATCCGTGGTAAAACTTATTATCCTTAACCCCTTAATGTATCATTACTATTATTATTTTTTTACAATAAAAAAACGGTTCAATATTCATTTTCCTATATTTTGATGATATCATTTAGTATTAATTAAATTAAAATCGTTATTTTGCATACAAATCTAAACTCGATAAGTCAGACGCAGCAATCAATTGTTTAAAGTACTTTATAATATAAATAAATGTTCGATTTATCGATTTTAGATGTGTATTTATATAAACGCTCTATTTTTTTTTTCTCTCAATTGAGAGAAAAAAATGAATGAAGAAATAAAAAAATTAATATTTAAAAATACAAAATTCACATTTTCGCTCATTTTAACTGATAAATCGTGGTATAAAATATCAAAAGATCCCAAAGTAAGAGCAAACTGGCTCATTAAAAAACATGACAAAGCACATTCTTTTTTTTACGCGATTCGCTACGGTCATAACTTTATATCATTAGAATTGGTTGATCTCCTTATCAAAGAAAACGTGATTTTATCCAGGTATCTCGCGCAACGATTATTATTACAATTCGGAAAAACCGACGATAGTCTAATTGAACTAAAAATACAAAATGACATCAATGTCAACAAAAACAACAAAAACAACAAAAACAACAAAAACAACAAAAACAACAAAAACAACAGTAATAATAATGATATGATTCAAGGAATATCTAAATTATATACAAATGTGAATATTCATATGTAGTATAATTATATTAAAAGGACATTCCATTAAAGATAACAATAATTGTACTATAATATTTTTTCTTTCTTCAAGTTCTCTATCCAGGTTTCCTAACCAAAATTTTTCTTTGGTCCATTTTCTTCTATTGGTCTCCAACCCAAATATCCCAATCTTATTTTTTTTTTTTGATTTAGGCTTGTTTGTGTAATCAGTTTCTGCTATAAGTCTATTCCAAATGTTTCTCATACAAAATACAAAATTCAAAGTGAGCTGATTATTATGTGTATTTGTATTTAATTGCATTGTTACTTCATGATAAACCTTTTCCAATTCAGAAAACCATAATGTTGTTCTTCATCAACTTCAATTTTCCTCTCATGAACATCAAGCAGTTGAAAAAGGGGCTGGTTTTGTAATATATAGTTGTTTTTCAATCCATGTTTTCTGGTGCTGATGCTGTTATTGCATTTAAAAGTTGGTTTGAGATTAAAAATTTGGGGTAAAAACCCTTCGAAAAATGGTTTTAAAGTTGTTATATTGTTTGATTTCTTTAATAAATTCAAATAGATCAATTCAAATGGAATATTACTCTGACAAAATTCATTGTAAGTAGGTATGATCAAATTGAATGTACAGCTGGTTATTCTTTCTGGTATTGATCTTTCAGGATGGAGTAACAACTCTCTATCAATCCATACCTTTGATATAATCATATCATTGAAGCATAATCTTGTGATTAATGAATCTGGATTGAATTTTTTTAACACCCATCTATAAAAATGTCCACTTAATCTCAATGATCTTATATTGTTAATTGATTTTTCAATATTTGAATTTATAAATTTACAAGTATCAACCTGTTAATATAGTACTTTGT